GTTTGTGTTCCATTGGATGATTCCTACCGTTATGTCGGGACATTGAATTTGACCGGCCCCGATTTCCGTACCCTGCGGCTGCTGGGATTTGCTTCCATGGCTATTGAAATCCCGCCGAACTCCCTGGGCGGGATGCTCTGGCTCTCCTCTGCATTTCCTCTTCCTCATCCCATTCCTCATCATCCTCCTCGTCTTCTTCATCTTCATCTTCGTCTGATAGCCTGTCATCTTCTTCCTCGTCAGACAATAACAGACCGTCTTCCGTTTCGTATCTCGGTTTGTGGCGATGAGAAGTTTGGGCGCCAAACTGGTGCAGATTCTGAACACCATGTGGCTGGAGGAATGGCATTGCTTGTTGCTGTTGTGCAAACTGCATTTGCATAGGGTGTTGGGGGTGTTGCAGCTTAGTCATTTGCTGCATAGGTGACGGGAATACTCCCATATACCCGGGTTGCTGAAGATTGAAGTTCATTATGGGACCAGGCTCAGCGTCTCAGTCGAGAGGGCTCGAGATTCGAGTGAGCGCTTTAATATCGTGACTCGGGGGAAATACCACTTGACTATGGTTTCCACTGGAAAGGAGTAAAAGGTGAGGAGATAGTAGGGGGTTAAGTTATACTACCAGACCTTTGGAAAGACGCGGGCGCGCCTGCTTATATTGCCCTCCCAGCGGCTTCGTGTCCTCTATACAACTGCGGGATACGTGAGGGATCTGAATCCACCGAGCTCCCAATTAATCAAGTGTGCCGCCTCGATGAGCCTATTTCATAAACAGAATAGAATGTCAAAACATTCTGAACCCCAATCACAATTACCGGCTCGGCAAATAGCAGTGAAGGTTACGACGGGTACCTCAGGCCGTACGCGCTTCTGGAGCGTTGAATAGAGCATGGTGGCCAACCAGATATGGTCTTCGGAGACGGAATAGGTTGCATCGTCCGCCTCTTGCATATTGCTCGCCGCTGTTGCTGCCATGCTTTCTTTCCATGACACAATGGCAGCTGGAACAGTTGGGCGCAGAAAGGTCGAAACATCGAGCAAAAAGGCAAGTGTTGAAGTATATCTGTATATAGATCCTTTTCAGGTGTTTATTCCCCGAGTCATTTCATGTTGTAATGCGCTGTCCATTGGTTGGGTCCAAGTTCTATTGTAGATTATGGCAGAGCTCATTTCGACGGGCATGCATAAACAAGATTTGATTCTTCAATTTCAATATTTGTCTCTTATTTTCTACAAATTCTCTATGAAATGTCAAGCAGAGCCGTCACCAAGATACCTGGCTTTGACGGTACGCCCATCCAACCCAACCACTCCAACGGTCTGTGTGTCGCCAGGGAAGACGTCAATGGCTTGGTCGGAGAATTTTGCCCAAGGACCATCAACGTCAAACACGAGTCCTTTGACGGGCCTGTCCGCAGAGATTTGCAGTGTCTGGTACCCTAAGCCTTCCGCGCCGCTACTGACAGCAGATGCCACGATCTGGAGATTGACCTCCTTCTTAGTTGGGAAGTGAATGTATTTGAAGGGCTCAGGCCTGCGGGCGTTTACTTTAGAGTATGGCCGCAATCCACAAAAGGGAGACATACCAGTTGCTATACCTCGCCAAGACCACATGTGTGTCTATGTCAACCAAGCGGGCTTGGATGACAATGGGTTTACTTCTCATTCCTTCCACGTGCACGTCTTCAACACCAGGTGTCTTTCCTTTCCAGAGCTCAGTGGTGGCGTTGGGAGCGAGAGTGACAACCTTCTTGCCATCTTGAAGACCCTCCTCTGTGACTTGTACAGGCTGACCAGCTTCCACATCAAAAGCGTGGATTTCTAGGCAGACCTTCCTCTCAGTTGGATAAGAGTTAGTACCCCAAACTTCCAACCTCGATGAAATGGTAAAGTAGGCAACACTGTCAGGAGCTGTGAATGTCTTGACAGGTTTCCTTGTCATTCCTACTGTGAATGGAGCAAGTTCGCGCGCGACCGTAAAGTATGCGGGTTTAGGACGCAAGAAGTAGTCGGCAATTGCCCAAGACGTCACGGGCCAGCAATCATTGAGCTATAGAGGGGACCATCAGTTCCCGCTATTACCAAAACTTCGTTTGAAATACTGACTTGCCACACTAGAGCGCCACCGACATACTCCTTGTTCGGTCCACGCCATTCTCGCCTCCAGAGACGGTAAGCAGAGGCCAAGGTCTCCGCCTGCATAATTTGCGTATAATATACATATGACTCGATGTCAAAAGCGTGCTTAAAGTTCTCCATGAGGTAGAGCTAAACCATCGGATGAGGAATTATCTCTAGCCAGGGCCAATATAACGCACCTCCAGACGACGCTCGAATCCATCAGCCTTATTGTGACTATTCATAGTGCTAATCGTCCGAATTTAGCACTTTCATACGTTTATCGTACCCATCTCATACATACCGCGACTGAGGATACCTCTCTGCCTTGTCATTGCCAATCCAATAGTCGACAGTACGAATATCGGGATAGCCTTGCCTGGTTCATGTTAAGTCGGTACAATTGTTGGTCGAGATCCCGATGAAAATTCGTCCATTGCAGCAAGGATACGCCAAAAATCGGGATAGGGTTTCGTGTGATCAAGCAATGTCAACGTAGAAACCACAAATCGGAGTAGAAGACAATAACCAAGTCGACAGAGAAGTCAGAAGGTCAAGACTTCAAAATGGCTGATAAGGAGGTTCACTCACATGCCAAACTCTGAAATGAAGCGACCGGCCAGAATATCCCAATTATGCCACGGTTCTTGCGAGCCCTATAAAAAATGTATCCGATGGGGATCAACCGGAGATGCAGCCGAATGCCATCCATGATCCGGGCCGAGGTGACAAGCGGAAGAGATCGGTAGTTGCAAGACAAGGGGTATAGGAAATTATGTCGGTAGGGACAAAGATTGCGGTATACGTCAGTTGACCCGCCAAGATTTGCAAATAACAAAAGTAGATCAAAGGAAAGGAGAAACGACGAGGTTGACAGATGGAGGATTCGTGAGAGCACATGGACCGTATCAACATCATCCAAGGAGATGAGTTGGCTAAATCCAGCTAAAGCACTGCTCAGGAGACAACGCGAGGAACACTCGGCTTTGAGTCGGAGCGACGGACAGATGCCGGTGAGTCGTAGGACTCTCGGTGTGAACGTCGGCAGACTATCGAAAATAAGGGATTTGGCACGGAAATAGTGATGAAGTTGGGCAGGTTCGCACCATACGACACGTAGTAGCGCTGGAGAATGGTAGGAATGGAAAATGGAAAGGGGAGACGTAAATTCAATGAAAATACATACGTGCCAAACATTCCACTG